CGAGACCTGCGATATAGGGATATACGTACCTGACCCTGTCCCTGACCCATCCATACCACCCAATCTGGACTGGGTCGATAGTGATGATGGCGACAGATCGTTGATAGAGTCCGTTTAGTAAACTGCTGATCACCACCATAAGGTACGAGCTCGTCTTCGGAGACCTATCTGTCAATTACGCCTGACAACCAGGGTCGCCTACACGGTTCGGCGTCTGGAGAAGAGGTAGAGTTGATATTGCAGGTTCTTTTTCAGGATCGAGGGCATGGAGGAGAGTGTCAAGTCTGCGGCCCCTCTTCAGGGCTATGGGCCAGCTCCTGCTTGTCGTCTTGTACGTCCTCCAGAGGCGGGGGCGCGGATAGGGTCTTCAGTGGAGACGTTCTCCTAAATTTGGTCAGCCTGTTACGGCGAATGTTAGAATGGGTTCATCATTGGTGGAGTGGAGATAAATGATAATTCCAAAGACTGAGATCCTTGAGCAGCTTGGAGTGGGGTACTCATCTGGCATCTACCTGGATCATGCTCTTCCACAGACTCGGCATTATGCTTTGCGCACTTTACCTACCCTGTGGCTGGAGTCTGGTTGTTAGTGTCATGTCATTCACGCATGTTGGAGTGATAGTTGTTATGGTCAGGGGAACAACTAGAGCGTTTCCATGGAAATTACCTAACCTGAATGGCATAGGTACCTCCAGGCTACCTACCCTTAGTGAATGGCCACATGTAGGTCTCCATGGAAACTTCAGGATGTACCTGCCCTTGGTAACTGTTTAGAGCCATGATATCCCAAACAGTTCACGGAAGTCAAGATTGCCATGTTCGGTAGTATGCTTTTTATTTGATATGGTAAGTGCGTGTCGAAACAGGAATATGCTCTGCTACATTGGTACTACGTACATAGTACTTGATATCAGCCCTACTCGGCATATTTAAGTAGCCCCTATATGTTAAGGTACTGCTAGGTAGTAGCAATGGAATGTATGCAAGTGCGGGATCTAACGAAATCAAGGTTAGTTGCAGACAGGGCAATATCAAATCGATATACTACGGCAAGGCTGAGTACTGAGTTCAATATAGAAGACTGGGTCAAGCTTTCCCTTCTTACGCCCTCTCCTTGGTGATGCTCAGCGAACTCACCCTCTTAGCACCTTCCTTACTGCAATTCAAGTAAACAATACCTTGGGAAGTAGTTTCAGTTGCCGTTGCCATTCGGTAGCAACGGTCTCTCCCCCAGCCCATTTCGCTTTTCCTTCTTCCTCTTCCTCTCTTCCTCTCTTCTTTTCCTCTCCAACACCTCATGGTCGTTTGATGCTAGTATCCTGCTATTTGCACTATACGCTTGTCACTCTACCTTTGGTGTTTTACTTACGCTTAGCGGCGTCTCTTTTTGATCCCCTTTTTTTCCGTTTTTTGACCAGGTCTGACAGATGGCTCGCCTCTGCGTTCCTGGGTTTATCTTCCGCCGCGACAGGCCCACCGCACGGTACACGACACAACCAGCCTTTCGTTCATTCCCTCGAACTGTCGCCTACCGTGCCAACCCTCCTGTCTCGCCCCGCTCCTTTTTGCCGGTCTCCTCGAAGGCCGGCGTCCACTCCTTTTCCGCCGTTTCGACCTCGTCGACCGGTGACCGTTCCTTTTCTCAGATGAGCCAGGGTTCTCATCTTCCGGTTCGCTCGGTAAGAGCACCAGCCACTCCTTCTACTACTGCCCCAGCTTCCACTGGGGTGGTGGATGCGCTAAAGGCCCTTTCTTCCCGCCTCGCGGAAAGAAGGGCAGCTCGACAGGCCCGACTTCGACCCTGGGCTCAGCCCAGCTCGACCAGTCGCAACTCGTCCTCCGGACACCCGTCGATGCCTGCCCACCGCAAGCCAGCGCCCACCAAGTCCGCCATCCGCCAGCCGACCAAGCCGGTCAATCCAGCAGGAGGCATGGTGACCCGTGCTCAAAGGACGATCGCACGAATCGACGACACCCTTGCCAAGCTTGTTTCGACAAGCGGCCGCAAGGACAAGCCGAGGAAGCGCGTTCGTTTCGGCGAGACCACGGTGATCCCTGTCGAGCGCTGGATTGTCCGGTCCGAACACTCCTTTATCTTTCCGTCCTGGTTCGGTAACCTCCAAGGTTGGAGGGTAGTCGCTCTTTCGGAACCGAACGACGACGGCGAAACCGAGAAATACGTCTCGATGTGGGGCTCCGATCATTACGACATGCTCTACACCCACGCTCATTCCGAAACCCCTTGTAGCCGGCAGGGGTGCGTTTGGGATCGTATGAAGCATATTATGTCTCAGCATCCCAAATGGACTCCTGCTATGGTTATCAAGGGGTTCAACGTCTACCGAGAGAGGATGAGGCAGCGTGGAAAGTTCTACCTGTGAGCTTTCCCTCCTAACTCCAGTCTTTCTTTAAGCACCTCCTCTCTTGCCCACGTTCCTTACCCTGACATACCATGTCATCCACTCTTTTGTCTTTTTCCTTTGTTCCCATTGATTGGCTGGCTCTGGCCTTCCTTGAAGGCCATCCAGGTGCTGCTAATGGTTCACAGATGTTGATGTAATGTCCTGCTGTGATATTGGTGGCGCAATTGCATCCCCCGATAGGTACGTATGATGACTTCCAGCTCTGGGAATCCGGGACTGACAAAAGCAGAGGACGTTCTAGGTTTAAGGGTTCCCTACAAACAGGGGTAATGGCGCACACCCGCACGCGGGGCTTAAGACGTACACCCTTGCCAGGAGCATCAACCACTCCGAACGAACGACGACCGACCGACCGACTGACCGGCGATATACAGGCTTGGTGACTGAATAAGCAAAGATAAGTACCGCCGTCTTCAATCAGCATTGGCTCTGACTAACCGCGCGTCGATTCAGACGTATCCCGTGTCTTTCCCGAAGACACGGGTACACACAAGAGGATGAACAACGAAAAGATAAGTACTGCCGTCCTTACTCAGTATTGGCTCTGACTAACCGCTTATCGTTCCAGGTGTGCCCCATGTCTTCGGCAAGACACGGGGTCGGGTGGATAAGGAGGGCAGAGTTGGATTAAGGAGGGCAGAGTTGGATGAGGAGGGAAGAGTTGGATAAGGTGGGAGGAGTGGCAGCGGTGGTCTGTGCCTTCTGGGGTAAGTCAGCCCTACTAACAAATCTTAACTTTAACCTTATGAGCTGACGGGAAGAAACAGGGACCACCAACGGACGGCATGGGCGGTGGACTTGGGGACGGGGCTGGGTGGATGGGGGGTTTTGACTGTTCCATCTTCGGATGGTTCAGGTTTGACTGTTCAGCCTTCGGACTGTTCAGGTTTTGACTGTTCAATCTTCGGATGAACAGGTTTTCCTTTGTTTTTCCTTTGTTTTTCCTTTCTTGTCTATATCTTTTTGTCATATAATCAACTCTGACACTTAGGAGCGGGTGGGCGGGCCAATTCACGTTTTTGCTTTTTTTTTTTATACTATTAATGCCTACTTTCGTAGCTTTGAGCACGTAGCTGATAACACATTTAGCTGTAGTTGGCACAAAACACTATCTCTTTATAACCACTGAGGACACAACATACTAACAGTAACATTGAACACGATTGAAATGGGAAAAGAAAAACATAATCTCAAGCCATTAGCGAATTCCATAAATCAGAAGCTTTCTCTCCCTTCAACCCACTATTACTAACTTGCGCCGCCGCCGAATAGCACCGATTAACCGTCGCCTTCGGAGCATTGCACGGACTCTGAAGGTGACTACAGACAGAATTCAGCAAGGTGTTGAGAGTCGTCGACGACCCATGCGGAAAGTCATTCTGATTGTTCGTAGTCCACGAATATTCCGTCCGTCCATCGAGTCCATCCGCCCACCGGATAGTAGGATCCGAGCAGGTCCCGTAGTCGAGACCATCATTGCTGCCTGCACCGTTGGTCGTAGGGGTAGGAGTAGCGGTAGCTGGAGTGGTTGCGGCAGTCACAGGGGATGTAACAGTCACCGTGATGGTTTCGGCATGCGTTTCTATCTGCTTGCTGGTGCTAACGTCGGTTACGGTTGACGTGAGTGTTTCAGTTACAGTGGCAGTTTTGGCCGGGCCATCAGCAGTGACGGTCACTGTGTTTGTGGGGCCGGCAATGGTCTCTGTTGGACTATACATGAAATGTGGATGTTAGCCTCGCTACATAAAAATCTCAGGCTCTCTCTCCCCCACACCACCCCCTTGTTGTATGTATATATATATAGTACTTCGACTTACCCAGGCAGCTGTTCGGTGGATATCGCCGTCACGGTCACCGTCTCTGGAGTGCATATCTCGACATTTTCCCAGTGATCATGTCCTCTGGTGTTAGCTCCGCAAGCCCCATCTCGGCAAAGAGACCCATCCTCTGCTGGAGCGGGACGGCCCACTGCGCCCGGCACCATCTGGAGGAGAACGGGGAGGGTAAGAAGAATAGTAGTACCGTGGTAGACCATTTTGCAGGAGGAGTGCTAATAGAATAGATTAGAGACTAGTATGGTATGGAACATAAAAAACAGGGAATCTGAGACAAGATGTGTCGCAAGGGTGGGGATTTATATGGCACATGCTTGTTGGGCTTTCTATATAATCTACGGAAACGAAGGGAGGTTGGGGAAGGTAGGTATACGCTTGCAGGATTTACTTTTGGAGATTCTTGAGGGCATGGATTTGATCTATATTCGGTGTAGGTGTATAACTCTATCGTCCCTTTGGTTGTTGTTCCTGGGAGGTGTTGGCCTCGTAGGTAAGGGTAGACTTGGCGGATGAATGTACTCTGGATAAGAATTACACTTTCCGGGAGGCGGAAACGGGGCCTAAATAGTTTTGGTCCTCCGGAATCCTAACTAATAATAGTCTCTGGTTTCGGAATCAGTTCCCATCGTTCGAGGTTGTTAGGGCTGATGACGGCGCCCCACTTCAACATTCCTGAGGCGTCCTGGACGGTTGCGGACAGGTTTGACATACATGACATACCATCGTGCAAAGCAGTGGTGACTGCTCTGTTGAATGTCAATTCCACCTTGGACTACTATGGCTGCTTTGATTATGGGCAAGGTTTGGCTGCATCCAATCCCGGGCGATGCTTTTCTCTTGTTGGGCGTTAATATACTAGACTAGCAACTAGATCCGTAGAACTTTTTCTCTCTGAGGGTCAACCTTCATTAAAGGCTGTGGAAACGTCAATGTGGACCTCCATGCTCAAAGAACTCGAATGAGGTTGAGATATAGGCATAACCCGGGTGCTCGGTGCCTGCGCTTTTTTCAGGCGCTCGAGGATGGCCCGCTCATATATGTCATTTTCACCTCCGTATCAGTCTGCTCTCATGAGTGTGCGGCCCTGAAATTTGTCATCTGTAATACGAGATGTTAGCGAGGAATCCCAGAGCCGATGATTGAGGTGTAAAGGGTATCTGTACTATTGATTGCGCATAAGTCACGCTGTTGAGTATCGTGTGGATCTTATTCTGCTGAGTACCTCATGTTTGCCGCTATGAACCTGACAGGATGATAAACGTCCGAGCCTTCTTCTACCTTATGATGCAGTTTTGTCATGAGAGGAAAAGAGTCCGATGAAGAATCCGTAGGCGCGTTGGGTATTCAAGGATGGGGAACATTCCACTTAAGACCAGAAATGCATTGATAAAATAGAGGTGGAAATGGATGTTGAAAAACCGAAGCGACGAGAGGGGATCGCAATTTACAACGTTTCAATAGTTAATGGTGTCGATAATCGTTTTGGCGTTTCTGATGTAGTCACCTTTCTGTAGCAGGCAATTAATCCATCTTGTCAATTCCATAGTCAGCTATAGTTCAGTGTATGGAGAGCACATACACCGAGCTGTCCTTCTAAGTGAAAAGCTACCACCTATAGAGTAAAAGTACGTGATTGAAACCGAGCCCTTATTCGGGGCTACCTTGTGGAACAAGGAGACACAGATGCGAAAGTTGACCAGAGTAGATTATGAAAAAAAAGGCAGACCAAGTGACAAAGATAAGACGATTCTCGCGGCCGTATAACCCAGACAACAGTAAAACGCCCGAAAACACCGGTCGATGTCAAGATAACATATGCAAAGGTAATGGAGTTGTGTACAGTAAGTACCGGAAACAGAGGATCATCGGTATCCATGAGAAATATACCAACATGCTAGCAGCCAAGAGTCTATAAGTAGAAGAACAAGTTGTGACCCGAAGATGCGCGCACTAAAAGAAATCGACAGACAAAAGTGGCGAGGGTATGTGACGTCCACTAGAGAGAAAATGAATCAATCGTTGATACTTGCAGCCACAAATGACATCATCCTAATAACAGTCGCTAAGCCGTGCGTGTAAGAGGGGAGAGCGTTGCATGCTTCGACATTCAATAATCATGGTGGGGTTGGGGTCTGTCGGATTTCTGGCTGATCGGGGCGACGCTTCTCGTGAGGCCGCATATACATCGCATCTGATGGAGATTCCATCCCCGTAGATGAGCCGAATGGACGAGGCACCTCTGTTTGAGACGCTATCTGCTGCTGTTGCTGTTGTTGAGAAACAATCTCCCGTGCATAAAATTCGACAAGCATAGTTCCATATGCTTCCAATTCTTCAACTGGTATCGAGAGTCGAAAATCATTTAATAGTAGGAATTGAAGCTCGAGGTGGTTCAGCTCCACCAGTGGAAGACCTCCCACCTAGAATGAATTAGCTCTGGTAGGAAAGGGACTTCAGAAGACAACAAAATACCTTCGCGTATCGAGAATTAGTGTAAAAAACATCGGAAAAGAATTTACTGGCACAGGTCACGCCCGCGATGACCAGCCGGTGAATGTTAAAACTATCGACAACAAAAAATTGGGAAAGGTAGTCGTCTTCCTCCTGGGGGTGTAAAGACGGTGATATAGAAGATGGACTTGTTGGGTCCTGTGCTCTCATTCCAGCAGAGGATGGGGGAGTCACCATAGGCGAAGCATGCGCAGGCTTCACTGCCGACGCCTGAGACCCTGGCCGAGAGGCAGAGTCCGCTCGGACATGTCCCCAGCGCCGCTGGAGACGCTCCAATTGGCCTTTGTTAACTAGTTCAGTCATGCGATCAAAGTACACTAGTAGGCTTAGGAAGACCTCATAAGTTGTTGGGCAGTACTTATGAATGCGAGTGAGATAGCTGAGAATGCTGATGCTCGGTACATTCTTGCCATGGAACGCAAGCACACTCGTAGCTTGCGGGCTAAGGCTTGCTGTGCCATCAGGGGGAGGGATGTGTCGATGAATCTGCTCATGGTGCGTGTCATTGGTCGTGGTGATTTTCGTAAGAAGTCCAGCAACCATCTCAATGATGTCGGTGACTGGCATAGAGCTAATCTCATACTGGCGCTCCTGGCACCACTGCCCCGGTATTCGATCCCTTTGCGACTGGGCCAAGAACTCTTCGCTGGCAAAGCTCTGGATATGGGACAGATCACGGACCTTGATGCGACTCGGGGAGTTCGCTTCTGACCCACCCAGCGACCGCAGAGACTGGTGTGTCGGCTTCAGCCGAGGGGAAGCGGGAGATGAGTGACTCTCCCGGTGAGAACTCTGGTTGGTACTCACATGTTGGGAGCGATGGAACGCGGGGTAAGTGGAAGAGTCGGGGTAAGGTACATGGGTGGAACTCATTGAGGGAGGCTGGGTGTATGTCGATCCCGGCGTGGCGGAAGAATCTCGCGTGGACGATTGAGAGGGTGTGTGAGATGGCCGGTTGATATAGGCAGGCACATCATGCGAAGAGTGGGAGTGCAGACGAGCAGAGCCGGCGGCGGATGCTGATGGCGGGGCTGTGGAGGAAGTGGGGGTGGTATTGGTCGACGTGGACCTGGAGCTGCCGGTGTCCAAGTGAGATGATGGGTGAGAAGTTTGATGGGATGAAGGTCGATAGACGGATTCCGAGGGAGTGATGGCGCCTCCCAGCATGGTGTAGGAGCTGTCAATATGATCCGACCGCGGATGGTTGAGGAGGACTGATCCCATGTCAAGGCGCCTGGGCGACGGCTAAAACACGCGGTGGTCTATGCTAAAAGCCAAGGGCCGAGAAGCTGCAGAAGTCAGCAACGTGAGCCCGCTGGAGCGACATACGAGGTGAGGGGTCATTGAGACCGACAGATCGGACAAGGGGAATCATTCAGAGGGGACTTAAGGTGAATGATTGATTTAATAGGGAAATGGCAAATGCATAAACAAGGAAAAGGAAGCGAAGAAATCAAGTTATTGTACAGCAGAAAGAAAAGCCGGGCGAGGGATCAGATACACTTAATTGATGGGTCGATTTGGTTATCGAAGCAGAAAGGAATTGAGCCTAGATCAATATCAGGTGAGAGAGCACTGCACGTAGTGAACCCAACCCAGGCTGGCGGCGGGAAGGGAATCACAGCCGATAATCAAAGACAGGCAACTCCATTGCGCTCGATCAATGAGAGAGGGGGGATGAACTCCGAATTGAATTGAATTGAAAGGAAATTCAAAAAGAGCCCCCAAATCAACGGGTGGAGGAGCGACTGGGGAAAGAGAGGAGGGGGGTCCAGTGGTTGAGGGAGAGTTATGCGTGGCGAAAGGAAGAGGTGATCAAGTCCAGAATGAGAAGACCAGAGGTGCAATCGATCAGTGACTTCAAAGGGCCCACCGGGCAAGCAGCACTCGACCACAACCACTCATGCAGTTTTATTTAGTCCCTGAACTTGCTTCGAAATTTAAAAATAACCACTGG